ACTATAGGACAAGCACCCTACAGAGCCACATATAATGTACACAAAATATACCCCATCTCCTCCATCATCATAGTGAAATTTCCAGCCTATTTTCTCCCTTGACCCACATTTTTGTAGCAGGTGCTTTTAAATGAAGGAAAGAAAATGAGAAGCAGCTGTTTGATGGCTACTGAAGGGCCTGGGATGGCAGCAGCAGCCTGGGCTGAGAAGGATTAATAGGCAGTCTGCACGTGAGGAGGTCAGAGGTGGCAAATAAATGCAGTTTATCAGAGAGTCACGGAAATAAAGGAATGAATCACATTGCTCTCATCACCATAGATGAGGTATAAATAGAGTTAATCAGCACTGAATGAAACCATATTAACTCAAGGAGAATTATTCATGCACTGCAGGTGTTTTCCCAATCCCTGTCCATGGAAGTAATGAGTGAGAGGAGTAATTGGTGTCCAGCCCATCTCTAGCCAGCAGCTATTGCCCCTTCTGGACTGAATTAATCTTCCAAATTGCTATGCTGCTTTACAACACATATTTCAACATAATGATCTTTTACTTATTATTATTTTTGGTAGCTAGTGAGTTATTGAGATTGATAGCATCCTTTGCAAGAGAAATAAAGAACCCAAAGGGAACTGATAATTCATTGAACTTTTGAACTGCCTCCAAGTCACCTCTCTGGGACTTGAAAATTATGATGTATTATTTATCCAGCCCTGGCTGTGCCTCTCGCAGTGTGGTAGGAAGCTTCAGGAGAGTAATAACAACACGGGCCCTGTATGCTTTCCCTGAACACTAGCTGGAGAGAGCCTGCTACTAATTTGCCTTTCAATAAGGGCTGTATTTTTCCTTTGTAGCCGCTTTTTAAAGCGGCAATTTCTATGTGTCAGGTTACCAATGCAGCCTCAAGAGTTTCCTTCGCTGGGGTCAGCCGAGCTGCTGCCTCCCTGCTGCGGCACAGGTAGTGTTTTGTAGCCCTCACAAGGAGGTGTATGGCTGCTGATGGCCTCCCTGGGCCAACACTATATCTCCCACAGGCTTCAGCAATACCAGGACTGAGCCCCAAATAAGTGGATGTAGCTCCTCTGGGTCCAGGTCTCCCTCTGCAAGGTGCTGAGCTCTGTAGCCCAGATTCAGAAAAGCATTTAAACAGGGGCTTAACACAAGCATGTGCTCACTTTCCTCATGAGCTTAGAGCTCAAAGGATCATCCCCGGGCAAGTCCAAACCCCATTTAGCTCCCAGTGAAGTGAAAAGGTGAAGGCTTCAGTGGGTGCTGAGAAAGCAGCTTTCATCCGTACCAGCGATGCTGAGTTTTCTCACACTCACCCCTTATCCTCCTTCATCGTGCCAGGCAGGGGCAAGGTGCGGGCTCAAGGGCCGCTAAAGGGACCAGCCCCAACCCCTTGGTGCATGGCAGCGGGGCTGAGATAGCACCGCTTTGTGATGGCAAAATTCCCATTTCTCCGAAGGCCTGAAGCGGTGCAGCAGGAGGAAGATGGGCAAGCGCGACAGGCACCCACCTTTGCCACTTGCATCAGGTTTAGCCTTTGACAGCAAAGGCTACATACTAAAATTATTCTGTGGGTATCGCAGGGATGTCACCGAGCCCGCCTGCAGCTTTTATCTCGTGCTTAAAGCACCAAATGATGTGTAAATACGTGATTAACCCCTCGGGGGCCAAGCCCCAGCTGCGCAGGTGGCGCAGGGCGCGATCTGCCGGGGCCG